TCATTGTGGGAAAATTCTACTAACAGTCCTTCATCACCTTACACGAAATAGGGTGAATAGATCTCATTACATTCGAAATAAGTTGGAGCTCAAAGAGGAATTTTATTGATGGAACCTATTTTTCATCCCCACCTATACTCTTCGTTCCCAAGATAAGAGCCTATCCTGGATGTGAACGAGTAAGTGCACAAAAAAGCGAGACTACTGCTAAAAACGGGTCCAATGCATTGTTTCAACGAAATAATATTGAAGGTTATTTTGTCGCCATTATTTCGATTCACGAATTCTGACATTTCTATTTGCATGCCTTTGCAAGTTTTACCCAGCCTACTTGATAGTCAATATCACATAGCTTTTCACTTAAAACGTAGATTTATTTTGGAGAGTCTCAAAAGACAAAAGAATTTAGGTGAATAATTTGCAGATTGTTTTAAAGACTAACCAGAAACTCAGCAAGAGCTCTCTCTAATATAGGTGCACGGGAAACATGCTTGAGTTTCGAATCACTGTATTAATTTCCTTATGAAAATGTGGGATAGATGAAAGCTGACCCTTTATTCTACTACCATCTATCTGTCTACTTTTATACATTTCCTTATAGTAATCTATATATATATATCCATGTCTATAGCTGTTCGCATGCACATTCAGCTTTTTATTTAGGTATCCATTTACGTGTATATTTATTTTTCGATATATAAACCTTTCTAAATGGCCGTTTTGAATCTTTTATATTTTCAACGGCAAACCCTTTTTTCCTCTCTTATAGCCCATCTCAGATTCAACCGGTTTGCAAGTAGATGAAACAGACAAGGTTCGTTTTAATTTATTTTGTATAGTTTCATTTATAACTGTTATAGATGCACAAGATGAGATCATACTGGCCTTTTGATCCCAAAAGTTGTATTATAGCATGACTTTGGGAGTTGTCTGCTGCATAAAATATATTTCAAATCAACTCATATTCTTTGAATTATTCTCAGATATTTAGGCCTAAATCTGTACTACCGACTAGTAAACAAATTCAAATGCTTTTTTTAAAATTGTAAAATAGGCATCAATCTATTGTGACATCACGTCCCATTTCGAAGGAAAAATTGGTTGAAAGTAATTAGTGATGTGGTCTCACTGGAAACCGAAGAATGATTGCCGCGTAAAGAAGACTGTTGAATTGTGCGAAGAAGTCCTTGTCTCAACATCCTGCGAACTCAATGAAACTGTGCTAAGTTTTCGTCTGTCTTGTAACAGATATTATCAAAGCAGGTATCCATACTAAACAGAATAGAGCAAAAATATACTAAACCAAGAGTAAATGGGGCTGGCTGCAACCCTAGTCGCTTTTTCATACGCCTAACTTCGCGATCTTAATTATGCATCCCATGATTGTGTTGGCTGCTTCAAATTTACTCTACATGCTTGCAAATGAGGGAAGTTATTTCACGAAATGAAAATGCGTTCAATGATAGCCGTTTCCTTACACAAATAGACTAGTGTACGATCGTCTAATATTAAATCATGTTAGGGAATGTGTTTTTATCTATAGTGTGTATATTATCTTCATGTCATGGGAATTGTGATAGTCTGAACTAGATTCGAGGCTAATCCAGCCTCCTCTTGTTCAGTGGCTCTTCCTGCCCTCCCTCTCCTTCTCTTTAAGCCTATCAAATAGCCACAAATAGTGCCTACTTGGTTTTCTTCACTCGTTCCTCCCAATTAGGATGCTGTCAGTTTTGTTAATTTATATGAATTCCCTAATCTTATGATTTGATGTGAAGTCCCGTAGCTCGCAAAACGTGTTTTGGACCAGTTTATAAAGTCTCATGTATCAGCCGTGTGTTCAGCGAGCTCAGATTTTTTGACCCATAAACATTTACAAGCGGTTTTATGTAGACAGAGTCTCTTCTGGATGGGTTGGCAGGTCTCTATTACATAGACCTTACTACATTAGCACAAAACCTTATTGCAGCCTGATCAAGAAAGAGGGTCCGAAATTTCTCTACACGTAGGAGCTACTGACGAAGGTGTTAATTTATCTTAATAAATTGTTTTTACAACTCACTTCCTGAGTAGATCACCGAAATTTTTTGCAAGCTGACAGGAAGGCAAAATCAGGAAACGAGTAGAATGGTTCAAATGTATACCCCGTGCCAACTAAGAAACTCCCCTCATCTTGTAATTGACAAGTGATATGTAATTGTATACTTATCCTAATGGGTAGTTGTTTTGAAATGATACACGCCTTAATCTACCGATTTCCTGGTACTCGCGGTTTACGTGTGCTATATGCAGACTCCCTATTATCATACACTTCATAACTCCTATTTTGACTTTACATATATGGTTGGAGAAGAAATGAATACAGAAATCTGCATGTATGGGTTTTCAATACCCGTCTTTATCTAATTTATTTCCTTCTTTGCTAACTAGTAAGTCCAAAAAAGGCAATTTACTTTCATTTTGGAACTCCACGATAAAGTTAGTATTTGCATCTATTTTATTTATTAGTTTAACGAATTCACCTAGACTATCTTTGCCGTATAGATGTTATTTAATAGGAAGACCTAGAAGAGCGCACCTTGTCCGGAGTCCATAGTATGCATGATAATTTCCACAGTCGAACCGTGGACGTGGTACATTCCCAGAGGTTTCGCCAACATTGTAGTCGGCATCGTCAGAGAGGGATTGTACCACGTCAGTCTATAGATGCACCACGTCCACGGACCGAGTTTGGAAATTATCATGTATACAATGGACTCCGGACTAGGTGCGTTCATCTAGATCTTCCTACCAATATGAACAAGTTGCGAAAATAAGGTCAAACAACTTCTATACAGCGAAAGGTGACTGCGACCATACAAAAGGCTACACCATCTTGGTCTTCATATCTTTGCCGTAATGCCAATCAACGAAACAATAATTTGGTAACTAGGAGGGCTTTTTGAACCACACCAACTTCTAATTGGGCCCTGCAGTTATTAGCTAAAATAGGGGCTTTACAAGATCCCATAACCAAGTCCCATGTCTGTTTATACAACTTACCACTGAAGTTAAACTATCTATTATACAATGCCAAATTGACTAATCTAGTGGTCGAATCCTTACCTAACTTTTTGCCTGTTATACTTTCATGGTGTTGATCTAGAGTTAATTCTAAAGCCTTCGCTGCCTCGTTTATCGGAATGTTAGTGTACATAGACAATACATCGAAAATTACCATCAAATTTTATTTTTCTATCGTCTGATCATTAACCAACTTTATAAAGTTGTAAGAGTTCCCTATCGAAAACCTGCAAGCTTCGAATATTTGCTTTAACTGAGTACATATAAATCGTGGTGTTTTATGCATCATGCTACCTCTATTATTTACAACATTTGCAAGTGGAGTATCTTGCTTATGAATTTTGGGC